CAACAGTGTCTGAGGGCTTCTTAAGATTTAATAAACTATGAATGTTTCATATCCATGTAACGGGAAGAAACTCAGCTAACTGATGATATGAACCATTTTTAGCAAAGAAAACACAAGACTAACGCTGAGCCTCTGAATTAGCCCTGAGCGAAAAAATGCTAACGCTGTTAGCACAGAACTCACGGTATAAAACCCTTATTACTTATCGTAAATGCAAATCCAAACCGTCGATTAGCATTGTGAGAAGACACAGAATCGATAGGTATCAGTATCATCACTCCATGATCAAAACTCGCGACATGAGAAACAAAAACAGACATCACAACACGTGGCATTAGGTAGACAACACGGCACATTTCTTACCTTAGCTGTTGTTCTGATCAAAAGTTGTCTTCAATGGCATTAAAACGATAAAAACGCTGCTGAAGGTTAATCCATAGGTTAATCCAATGTGTCTGTGTCACTTTGAAATGATTTCTGATAATCCATCAGCAATAAACCTAGTTTTCAGTTTTCAGATTTCAGAGCGTAAAATAGGTTTTGCTTAGCCCCCACTTCTCAATAGTAACGTTGGTGTGTATGTAGAAATTCCCCTTCGATTCTATTGGCTCTAACGGTTCAAAAGAGATACTATAATTTTCGAGCCTGAGACCTGAAAAACAGGCTTGGGGCTTATCAGGTTAAAAAAGTACTAAGTTATGATATAATACAAAATATAATACTTTTTTTTTTTTTTTAAGTAAAAAGTTACATCATTTTCAAAATACACATCCTGTAACAGTTCTCAGGATTTAGCTGCCAGGTATATATTACACATCATATCCAGTGCCAGGAGAGCTAATCCAAAGACCTCATCACACCTCCTCTTCATCCCTTTTCCTCCAAATCCAGATCTTCAGCATTATCACCAATATCTAGACCAGGGGTGGGGAACCTTTTTCCTCTCAAGGGCCATTTCAATTTTGTCAACATCCTCCGAGGGCCGTACAGATTATTGACCTCTGCTTAAAAAATTAAAACCACAGCCCATTCATTTGGCCTTTCTTTCATGCTGTGCAAAGAAAAAGCAACCTCTTAATCCAGATATCTTACCATGACTCGCGCATGCATGCACGTGCACGGTGTGGCATGACCACCCAAACAGAAAGATATGGACACAAGATGTGTGCAAAATTATTTAGTTTCCTATCCATGTGAACATGATTTAAGTGGGGGGGGACCTAACCTCCTCTAGGGGGGTCCGGGGGCATGCTCCCCCGGGGAGATATTTTTTTTAATGTTGAAGTTAAAAGCATCAATCTGGTGCACTGAGAGCAACATTAGGAGATCTATGGATACATCTCTCAACATCCATATGAAACAGAACTGTAAGCAGATTTTCTTTATGAATATTTTACAAATCACTGCTCTGTCAAACTGTATTCTTTATTTTACTGTCATATAGTATTTTATACCTGTTTACTTTATTCTCTTATTTTTTTATAACTATAATGATCATATAAAGATGTGCCTTTACCTCACTGGTTGGAGAAAAAGCTTCTTATATTCGTTAGCATAGCTAGCTAACCAGATGCTAATAACAACAAAGTTATTGACTGTATGATCAGTATGACAGATGAGCAGATCGCCACTGGGCTTTCAACTAAAGACACAGCCACGCAGAAACTGCGGCATGTGTACGGCTCCTTATGGGTACGCCGGAGCCGCATTCTGGTGCTCTCCGTCAGAACTGCACCCCTGTCAGACGAGACATATACCATGTGATGACACGTTAGGCTCGTGTTGTGTTCAAGGACCCTGACCTTGGCCAGGAAAAACAGGCACTCGTTTGTTTTTTGTTTTTTGTTTGTTTTTTGTTTTTTGCGTGTGTTTATAAATGAACTCGAGGGCCGTACCAAATGGTCTCGTGGGCCGTATACGGCCCGGGGGCCGGAGGTTCCCCACCCCTGGTCTACACCCTATATGCTCACGGCTGCATTTTCCCCTTTTTATATACGATTTCAGGATCGGGTTCTAATCGCCAAAGACTTAACACTCAATAAATGTTCTTTAAAGAAAATGAAGTCTCTCCTGATTGAACTCAAGTTGAGAGGTATAACAAATTATAATACCAGCCTTAATATTAAATTACATCCAACTTAACTTCAAAAGTCATACTGTATATTCATAAAAATATACCTCAGAAGATTTGAATGTGTTTTTAAGGAACAGAAACCGGTTATTTTGATGAGGATGTTTATCAAAGTATTGGTGTAACACTGTTAATGTATTACACATAAACAAGATGCTGTTTTGTCATCAGAATTGGGTTCTGGTCTGGTTCAGTGTCTCTGGTTCCTCTGTAGGTCTGAGAGTCTCTCCTGACGACAGAAACTGACTGCAGAACAGCTGCTGAAATCAGTTCAGTGTGTTCACCATCACACACACATCTGTCTCAAACTCAGACACAATAAATGTTTCTGATTCCATCCCTACGGCTAACATCACTTTTTAAACTAACAAATAAATAAAATGTCTCCATTTACATTTGCTTGTTCTATATTTAGCTGTCTTGTGTAGGTTCAGAGAAACGTGTGATGTTCTTCGGGGTAACGGTGTGTTTCCTCTGGTCTCCTGTGGTGCCTTGTATCCTCTTTGAGCAGCGTCAGTGTTTGCTGCCATGAACAGATTCTGAATCCAGTTTGAAGCCACATGTTTACCATATGCAGTGTGGTATGCAATAATCAGAAATACTTTCTTTGTTTTGATTCAAAAGATGACGTATTGTTTTTATAATGGTACGAAACATCTGAAAACCAATTGCCTTCTTTAGCTTCCTCTTGAATAATACTGTAATGTTATAAATGTAAAACTTTTTCTTCTAATGTTTCTGAATATTTTGAATAAAATATTTTCTTTTTATTCTGAGGCTGAGCTTTTGTTTTGTCATAAAGTAAAACTAGCACCAGAATCACTTCACACATCTTCTAACACCCCCCCTACTGGTTATACTACTACATATATTTTGAAGGATTAAATGCTAAAACATATTTGTGGAGAATATTCAATAACTCCACAGTGAAGTGCTAACAACAACACTTGGATGCTCTCCTTTTGGTTATAGTTCAACACTTATTTTGAACATTTAACATTATTATGGTGGTTTTTAAATAATAAATGAGTCCCCTGTTGGACAGTTGTGTGTCACGTTAAATGTGATAAAATACAAATTTCTTCTGTATTTTATTTCAACATTTATTTATTATTTTAATGTATTTATTAATACATATATTTATGCATTTATGTTTCTATCAGTTTATACTTATGCCATGTTCTGTCCTCCATTCTAACCCCTTCACTGCTGTTCAATCCACCTTTAGTTCCACATCAGTTATTAGATTGGGTTTCACATGTTAGATTATTAACCCTTAACCTCTTAAGCACGGCGGTCCCCCCATTGGACCCCTCCCACCGTTTTGTTTTCGAGATAATGTCTCAGGGCTTCTTAACATTTATGAAACTATTAATGTGTAGCACCAGATTAACGGGAAGAATCTCAGCTAACTGAAGATATGAACCATTTTTATCAAAACAAAACACAAGTCTCATAAGAAGGGTCTAAATGACCCCTGAGCGAAAACATTCTAACGCACTGCGGCACACAATTCAAGATAAAGATACCCTTATTACTTATCGTAGCTGCACATACAATATAGCCGATTAAAGCTGAGACTCCACTGATTATTTACGTATAGTATCATCACTGAGCGATCCGAACTTGCGACAGGGGAAGCAAACACAGACATCACAACACGTACCTTTACGGAGCTTTTACGGCAGATCGTCTCACCGTAGCTGTCAATTAGGTCAAAAGACGTGTTCAATGGCATTAAAACGAAAAAAAAAAAATCTACAACTGTTGATCCATAGGTTGATAATGTACCTGTGCCTTTTCAAAAATTATTTATAATCCATAATTCCATTTTTTATGTAAAATCGGAGCGGAAAAGTTAGCTGCTAATGGTAGCCACCAGAGTGTATGCAGCTTCCGGTTTTGGTAACGCGTCACTCTCACTCCTTATTTGTTAACGTTTTGGTGTGTATAGAACTTTCCCTCGATTCCATTGGCTCTAGCGGTTATAAAGAGATTTCATTCATCAAAATCGAGCAAGGGGGGCCAGAGATAGGTCAAATCCACCCAAATGACCCCAGAAGTGGAGTTTTTTGGCTAAATCTCTCTAAAAAGGTCAAATTTCACTTGTTTTGCATCAATCTTGATACAGGGTACTTATTATATGTTGTACTTTGGATTCCTAAAGCTTTTAGTCTACTAACCCATCATCCAAGGGTAGTTTTCACTATAAGTAAAAAATAATTTTTGGACGGACACTATAATTTACAGTTTTTTACTATGTAAAATCTGAATTTTCTTTAAAATAAAAAACATCTATATTGATTCTGACTTTTCTACATCCAACTCACAGGTTTATCATTACTTTGAGAATAAAGATTATTAATTTAACCCTTTTAGAAGGGAAGATATGGTCATTTGTTCTGGGAATGTCATTTTCGAGCCTGAGACCTGAAAAACAGGCTCAGGGCTTAAGAGGTTAAATGTATAAACCCATCCTTTGTATCAGTGATGAAGATAAGGGAGGCCTAATTCCAAACCACACCCAATCCCCCTCCGTCTGAAGTCACACTCACAGCTGAACGAGGCCCCCTCCTTTCAGACGGAGGGTGTAAATTAAGCGGCAAGCATTGGAGCAAACTCCCCTCTCTGGCAGCAACAGGGAATACTGTAACTTGTTGTAACAACGGTTTCAAATCAGCATCTCTTGGATAAAAAAAGAAAATTTAAAATCAAACTCCAAAAATCTTTAATTGTGTTGTCTTGTCTTTTTTGTAAAGTTCTTTTAGTTTTAAAACCTGATGTTTATAAGCTTCTTATTTGTTTTCAACAGTCTGTAAATATACACAACTTGATAATATATTCAACACATTTACCATTTTCTAGACTAAACACAGGTATGATCCTGAGTTAAAAACAATACGAGGGAACAGGAAGTTGTTAACATCTGTATGAAGATATTAAACATCTATCTTGTTGTTCAGTAAATGTTGGAACTGTTTGTAAGCAGCGTGTTTCCTGACGGACACACACACGTTGGTCGGTCAGGTGGAGCAGCAGGTGAAGTCAGGTGATGCAGACTCTCTTGATAAAACACTCCCCCTCCACACTCGTTGGTTTGGAACTGCACTTAAAGGTCTCCTATTGTACTATTTGTAAGCATATATTATAGGTCTCAGATATAAAAAACATGTCTCTGAAGGGTTTTGCTAACCCTCTGGTAGAGTAGCAGTGTATCTGGATTTTCCTGCTGGCTCTCTCTCCTTCTACAGAGTCTCCTCTGACACACTGGTCCACCTCCACACCTTCAGAACCACATTCACTGAACCTCTCTATGCTGGGTTTGGGTCAGGGTACTCGTTATGTGTTGATTCCTCTTCGGTGTCTCTGTGTCCTCTGCAGGTCTGAGAGTCAACATTTTCACACTTATATATACATATGCTGATATACTATGTAACATTTCTAAATTAAATTACTTTTGTCTTTCCTACGTTACGTACGTTTATGTATGTAGCACATTCAAAGACAGCACATTTTTGAATAAAGTGATTCACAAAGAGATCAAATAAAAGTCATGGAAAAGAAGACCTGGTCCTATGAACTCATGTACCCAGCCAGAAGAACGATGTAATAACAAGTTTCAACAGGTTGCTCTTGTTAGCGCAACACAGAGAGTAAGAAATCCACTATTCCGTCGAAAACCCATCACACGTTTAGAATGAGAAAAAGATTGTCTGAGACCACCCACCAACACGACTCAAATGACTCGTATGATCCGGATCTCTTCAATGACTGACTCAGAAGACCCTGAGTCCGTAAAAGGATCCGGATTTGCCATCTCTAGTTTGATGTGGGCTGGCATGATCCTTTCTGCAGCGATGAATAAAGAAAACAAAGAAAACATTTTTAATAATAGTAATGATGGTAACAACAATAATATTAGTATAACTATTTATAGCACTTACACAATTGCAAAGTGATTCTCACAACAAAAATAAAGAACCAAACAATATCAACAATAAAAAAACAAATGATTATAGGAATGTTAAGAGACAAAGAAATTATAAACATTCTGAGAGGCCGACTACAAAAGGTAGACTCAATGGCTCTTGATGACATCAATGAGCAGTCCCAATACATGCTGTATAAAAAGAAATAGAATAAGTCCAGATTTCTTCTATTTTGTGTTGGATGATTTGATTTATTGATTGCTGATGGATGTATATATATAGGGTTTATTCAACAGCAGTAAAGCATTAAGTTGCTAAATGAACGTACACTGAACTGTAAAACAACTTACCACTATTTAGGAAAGGCTCTGATCAGGAGAGTTGACTAGTAGGACAGCAAAGAGGGGGTGTCATGTACAACCATTGGTAGATGTTACACCTGCAAGAAAGATAAGGAAATAAGAGAAGACAGGAGGACAAACATCCACTTAAGTAAAAGACCAAATCATGTCAAGCTTTAACCTGAGCCGGTTTTTTCAGTCTTTACAATGCACTGTTGGAAAATACCTTCCAAAGGCTAAATTCAAACTCAATACCATAAATAACTGGGTACCAAAGTGCTTTTACCTGAGAGAACACGTTCCACACGGAGCAGCAACCATCCACCTCGGCCTTTTGCTGCATATCATCTCCTCCCTCTCCACTGTTTCCATTAGATCTCTACTGTCCCATAAAACTGAAATTCCCCAAAAAATCATATTAACAAAGTTAAAAACAATAACTTGCTTTTGGCATTGAAATGGATTAGAATCTCACCTTTTTCCTGGATGTCAGGAAGGCCAGGAAGTCGTTCCCTTCAAGTCCGCAACCTGTCATAGGGGTTCAAATGCAAAGCCTGAACGATGACAAGAGCGAGACTTACATTTTACAATTATATTTTTAATTCATACCAGAGCAGTGTGTACATAGGCCCTGTACGACATGCAAAGAACAGATCAAATCCCCTGACAGACTCACACACTTTGGTGATGTCCTCATCTGATAATGTTTAATTTTTTAGCAGCAAAGTAACATTACTCAAAGTATATGTCGGACCCAACTAATTTACAGTATGTTTTGCATCTCCTCAACAATGGTCTGTATCATTGAGTAGAAAAAAACACACATTTGTAAGAAAAGTTTACAATGAAGCACAAAAACCCTCTTTGTATTAAGCGAGCTGCCACACAAAGTACAGCTTAACATGCTAACCTTTGGTAGAGAGCTACAGTTAGCTAACCTAATGTTCAACACAACACCTCTAATGGCATTACATTGACGATTTTAAACAAAACGTAACTCTCTCAACTTGTAAGATAACGTTAAGTTAACTTACCCTTAAATAACTACATCACGTTTTTCAGGGGAAACACAAACTGCAGAAAATGTTAGCTGCTAACTGTTGTTAGTTAAGACAGCTAGCCTCCTAGCAAACATATAATAAGGTTAAGTTAACATTAACGTAACGTTGTAAGAAAGCAAAACGAACCTTCGAGAAAGCTTTTACTCTCAGACTTGGTGGAATTGTGTAGTGTTGCTTACCTCCAGAAGGACTTTTGGCGCGTTTCCCAGTAGACAGAGCTGTCAGAGCGGTGCCTCTCAGAAGAGCAGCCGCTGGGCGGAGTCACAGAAACGTTCAACTGATCTTCACTCCTCAACCGTGCCAGTCAGCGCCATATGGTGCCAGTCAAAAACAAACCGCTTTGTTTCAACCACTGCTGTCTCGCCGTTCCCCCGTGTCCCGCCCTCTCTGTCTGTCTGTGTCTGTTTCAGTTTCGCCAGCAAGACTGCTGGTAGACCAGCATAAATACCAGCTTCACCACCAGTTTAACTACCAGGGTAACAGAGGTTGAAGAAGTACTCTAATCCTTCACAGTCTCCATTACAGAAAGTTACTAAAGTATAATTACTGAAGTATTATCTCAAATATCCCAGACTCTCACTTCTGTCTGGTGTGAATGTGTGAAAGCAGATAGGGGGAGAAGGGAGTAAGTTGAGCCACACCCTGTAACCAGGCAACGCCTTATAGTTGTTATCACGTGACCAGACATTATGCAAGCTTCTCCCATTTCTCATTGCCTGTGAAAGAGAGATGCTCATTCTGGTCTGGTCAGTAAACATTTTTACGTTTTTTGCTTGTCAAAGTAAATTTTCTAGATGTCAGCTATATCGGCTGTCATGTCAAAAAAAAGGTTTAAACAAATATATTGTATATGTTGATGTGTTAGCAGCGTATTAAACCATGTGAGTCATTAAGCTAAAGATGACTCTGAATTTTAATGCTAGGCTATTTTTTCTAAAATGGTGGCTATGGGGTGAACCATGGGCGTTGGGGTAAGTTGAGCCAGTTTTTCAATGGAGAAATTAATGAAAGTAGGCCAAGTTGATAATAAGAGCTCATTGTAGGCTACATTTAAAGTTGAATTTACCTGTGTTTGATTGGTAAGATGGATGAAATTGTATCACCAGTCCATTTGTATGATTACTTTTCCTTTTATTAACATGTTAAAAAAAAATCAATCAATTCAATCGAAATTTATATTAAAAGTATTTGAAAAACTAAACTTGTATTTGGTTTGTTATTTATTGTTTAAAGTTACCTTTAAGATTTTTTGTAGGTATGCCCAGGTTTGAACAGGTATGCCCAAGTTTGAACAGTGGATCAATTTACCCCCTGACCTGGATCAACTTACCCCTAACCCGGGGCAAGTTGAGCCACAAGACTTTTTTTTAGAAGTCATATTTTCACTGCTCTTGATCAAATATTAATTCTTATCATTGCCATTGATAGGAGACATCCTGAATTATAGGTGTGTGCTTTCATTTTTACTATGTGTCATTTCTCCTTGCTTAGAGGACAGCATAACTAAAAAATGGCTCAATTTACCCCACTCTCCCCTACGATAAAACTGATCTGAGACACTGACAGATTAGACCAGGGGTCGGCAACCCCTGGCACGCGTGCCAGCATTGGCACGCGGCACCGTAGCCAGTGGCACACTAGGAATAAGTCGAATAAGTGTGCAAAATATTTAAATTGTATTTTCGGATCCTGAACGAGACCGCCGCCAGAGCGCGTCTCCCCGTTACCTGCAGAAGGAAGCCATGCACGCAACGCAGCCCCGCTCTCTTTAACTCCAGGTGACTTTCTGCCGCTTTCCTCCGTGGTGCAGTGCTGATCGTTTCACCACGGAAGAAAGCACTTCACAAATTGCAGTACCCATAAGGAGCTTTACAAATGTCGCAGTTTTTTGCGTGGCTGTGTGTGTCTTTAGTTGAAAGCCCAGTGGCGATCTGCTCATCTCTCATTGAAATAATATGCTACAAAGGGGCGGACTGGCCATCTGTGTGTTGAACTTTCCTGTCGGCTCCCAGACCGTAGTCGAGGAGGGCAGAAGCAACGAGCTTCAGGTTCAATAACCCACTTTAGCTTAAATGACTGGAGAGAGGCGAGCTCTTCTTGGAAGGCCGTTGCATTTATTTAGCTGTTCTTCTGTTTCACAAAATACTTCACAGACCTCTGCTTTTCTGCTGCCTCGTTTCACTTCCAGAAACATACACACACGCACACGCCAAACCCCTCTCTCTCTCTCTTAAAGGGACAGCGATCTCATCTCACTCTGCATGACCCTAATATCATAACATGTGTGTTCTGGAGAATCACAGAACGGACGATCGTCCTCGCCCCCCCCGCCCTCCTGTTGATAGATCACGAGCGTCAAGCTCCTCAACATCCTCAACACCCCCCCCCCCCCCCCCGTTGATAATTCTCGATCGTTGGCACGCTGATAATTTCTTTTTTTTTAAATGGCACTTCATATCAAAAAGGTTGCCGACCCCTGGATTAGACTATAAAAACCAACCCAGTCTCACGGCATTTCGTGTTATAGTCTCGAAATAAATGTAATCTATTGATTCGTGTTCACCAACACGATTTTCACCTTTTTTTCGTGTCACACAGAACGATTTTAAAAGCAATGTATTTCTATTGGTAGTATGTTTCGTGCCTGCACCACGTCTTTTTATCCAGTCGGGTCTTGGAATACCAGAAGCTGTGGGGTTCATAAAAACATGTTCTTACTCAATATCTTACCCTGAGCCTAACCCTTTTATTTTAAATTGTATAATGTCGGAGTTTTTTTGCCATCCACGAGGAAAATAAATGGCTCAGAGCCTCAGAATACTGACATCTGTATTTTTTGTCATCTTTTTTTCCTTCTAATTTGTTATTATTTGGTGCAGGCACGAAACATACTACCAATAGAAATACAATGCTTCTAAAATCGTTCTGTGTCAGAATACTGAAATCTGTATTTTTTTTAAATCTGTTTTTCCTTCCAATTTGTTATTATTTACATTGCTTTTAAAATCGTTCTGTGTGACACGAAAAAAATTGCGAAATCGTGTTGGTGAACACGAATCAATAGATTAATTTCGTGACTATAACACGAAATTCCGTGAGACTATGTTGACTGAGCATGCTTTGCTCATTATAAGGATGTTTGACACCTATAAGGTGGTAGTACTACAAGAAAAGGGTGTCATTCTCCCTTTATTCATAGTTTATTAACTAAATACTGTATAAATAGAGTCCTCTTTCCTCATTTCAGCAAATTACAAGAGAAAGTGGCAAACATGCTTTCAGTAACCAAACAACGTCACGTGTGTGTGTGTGTGTGTGTGTGTGTGTGTGTGTGTGTGTGTGTGTGTGTGTGTGTGTGTGTGTGTGTGTGTGTGTGTGTGTGTGTGTGTGTGTGTGTGTGTGTGTGTGTGTGTGTGTGTGATGCAGGGGGGCGGGGCCTGTGTGTTTGTAGAGTAAGAAACAGGAAGTCAACCACACATCATCTACAGCTTCCTCATGATCTGCACCAAAACCTCGAATCAAACGCAGCCTGAAGACCTGGGGGGGGGGGGACCCAGACCTCAGGGGGTCAACACGTGGTCTGAGGACCTGTGAGGGGACGCCTGAAGGTAAGGGCTCATTCAGGCTTTATTTCAGTGTAATCTTGTTAAATATCAGACAGGATGCTGGTTCCTCCGTCACACTCACGACTAAAAGAAGTGTTACTCACTGAATTCATCCTAAACGCCTTCAAACTTTACATTTCAAAATCTGCTTCCTCAACATTGTTATTTTAACTTCAGGTCACTGTGGCACACATAATCATATGTCAAGATGATTGGAGGTTTCTGGCTCAAATGCACTTTGGGAATTACCTTTCCCTTTAAATGTATACATCCTCAAACTGAAACCTGTGATTCTTTTAAAATATTAAAAGCAAACAAATATTTTGTCCCGCAGATTAAACCTGGAGACTTTAATACTGATTGAAGCTGCTTTACATTTTTAAAGGTGACTCTGAAACATCTCCAGGAACTACAAAGTAAAAATAGCTTTTACTGCAACTTGTATTAATGTTCAATGTCCTAAAAAGGCTTGATGATACAATGAAGTTGATACACTTATATATACATATACAAATATATATTTCACAGTAAATCTACCGGCCTCTAAGAAAGCAGATGTGACGCTGTTACAACGTTTCCTGATTCACTACTTCCTGTTGCAGTAAAGTGCTCTGTCTGTGCCCTCCCGCCTGCTGTCTGCATGTCAGCTCCCACACGACACAATCTGCCGATATCTGTTTTTCTTATGTCTGTTTGTTTTAATCTGTGTCTATGTTGTTGTCAGTGACGTATTGTCTTATCTTTTTAAATGCCTTTGTGATGTGCTGCAACCCATTTTCCACTCGGGGACAAATAAACGAAACTACTACTACTACAAATCCAACGCGCGTCAGTTCCTGATGTGTTCCATAAAATGACTTTATCTTTTTCTAATTATAATTTATTCTATGATTACATTTTGTATTAACCTGGCATAAATGTTTTATCCTTTAATCCTGTACCAAAGGAAGTGGTCACAGTGTCAGGCTGGAGCTGGACAATATCATGAAGGAATCATCTTTTAAAGGAAGAACATGTTTCACCATCGTTCTCCTTCTGCTCATGGCTTTCTTAATATTCTTCCAGGTGAGAACTGTTATCTGGGATCACTAATAGGGTTGACTTATTGTGACATGTTTAACATTAGTCCGATTGGTTTAGGAGACAGGCCCTATGCAGGGACACAGACAAACATGAGGGCCCTGACCAATTTGCTGCCCTAGGCAAGATTTTAGCTGGCGCCACATACAGAGCGTTGTCCGGGATTTTTTTACCATGATCCCGGACAGAAAGTCAGAAAAGTCATTTATGAAATCCTTATTGCAATTTGGCGGACGATACACGACTGCGCAGAGTATAGGCGAGGCCGGGTTCAGTTCAAAAAGCTGCAACTCAAAGCTAGCATAGCTAGTTACAGGGTGAAGCAATCGGCATTGGAGGCTAGCTCTAAACACTGATGCTATGCCCCGACAATGGCCGGTGGTACGCGGGGAGCAATGTACAGTCAGGAGGAAGAAGTTCAGAGAACGGTGTATACTCGCCAGCGTGGACCCAGGTCTCCATCATAAACATAAAATCCAGTTCACGAGAGGTGAAGAAGTCGTTTAGCAGGAACGTTTTGTTTGTTATCGACCTAACATTTAGCAAAGCCATGCAAAGTTTTCGCTCCGGGCTTGCTGAAGGTGTAGTGCGTCTCAGCTGACGAAGATGTGCGTGTTGAACGCCGCGCGGGCCGGGAGCAGTCAGTCGGGCAGGAGGAGCTGTCAGCGGGCCCAGCAGAGGCCGCAGCTCCGGAAAAACAGGGCGAATCCACCGAACCCTCACATGGCGTGCAGCGGGAGGGCCATGACATCCGAGGCGTGGATAAGTCCCAGAAGAAGCCGTCAGGTATGCCTTAAGATGGACCAGTGCACCACCACGCTTTCCCCGTCGTCTAAAGCGCTTTCGGCGAGGCAGGATGCAGGGCAACCGGCGCAGGTAGGCGGGAATATCCGACAGTAGAGGGGGGGGCGACGATTTATGATTGCCAGATGTAGATTTGGGCAGCAATATAAACTCCAGTGAGGGTCTGAGGTGGAGGAGAGCTTGGCGATCGTAGACGAGCAGAGCAGAGACATTCTGACAAACATAAAACAAAAACAGGATAGCTAAAGGCAGAGAGCTGAGGGAGCGGCGAGCCGACACAGGCGCCATCTTCCCACACACTGGTCACAGCTGTACGGTCTCTCAAGGCAACTCAAAGTGCGTCACCAAGCATGTCGTTGTGTCCCTGAGACACTTCACCCCAAATTGCTCCTGTGGGGATTGTCCACAGTATTCAGTATGTTAGTCGCTTTGGATAAAAGCGTCTAACAAGTGACATGTAATAATAATAATATTGTTTAATGTATAGATAATATAAAATCCATAAAATTCCAATTTCTGAACTGCAGGAATGAATTGAATTCCAGAAATGTTTTATATTTGGCTAAAACTAATGTTTCCTTTTTCAGCTTAACATATGGGACACATTGGTGAGTTATTTTTGGATGTGTATTGTGCATGAGCCATCCACAGTGTATGTTATATGTTTGAGTGTAATGTGTTGCTGATTAAAAAAAGCATCAGATTTTCTGCTCAAACCAACATTAAAGTGCAGACACACGGAGAACATCAGATCATTTATCTACAATCACAGTCGAGTTGATGGCAATTGCACGAGGCATTACAGGGGTAGAAGAGATGCAAATCCAAAGGATTATTCTTTGTTCAGATTTAAGTTCAGCAATAATGCCACTTCATTACATCTCATCGTAGGCAGGATATTGTGAATGACATTTATGAAACACCATAAAGATGAAGAAATAGAAATATCGAGATAACATTTATGTGGATAACATCATACAGAGGAATGAAGGGAAATGAAAATGTGACACATTAGCCAAGCAGTCTCTTAAACACGAGTAAATAATCAACATTGCACTCAGTAAATCTAAGGCAAATACAGAGTGACAAATAGAACATCATTAACCTCTTAAGCACGGCGGTCCCCCCATTGGACCCCTCCCACCGTTTTGTTTTCGAGATAATGTCTCAGGGCTTCTTAACATTTATGAAACTATTAATGTGTAGCACCAGATTAACGGGAAGAATCTCAGCTAACTGAAGATATGAACCATTTTTACCAAAACAAAACACAAGTCTCATAAGAAGCGTCTAAATGACCCCTGAGTGAAAAAATTCTAACGCACTGCGGCACACAATTCAAGATAAAGATACCCTTATTACTTATCGTAGCTGCACATACAATATAGCTGATTAAAGCTGAGACTCAACTGATTATTTAGGTATAGTATCATCACTGAGCGATCCGAACTTGCGACAGGGGAAGCAAACACAGACATCACAACACGTACCTTTACGGAGCTTTTACGGCAGATCGTCTCACCGTAGCTGTCAATTAGGTCAAAAGACGTGTTCAATGGCATTAAAACGAAAAAAAAAAAAATGCTACAACTGTTGATCCATAGGTTGATAATGTACCTGTGCCTTTTAAAAAATGATTTATAATCCATAATTCCATTTTTTTATGTAAAAATCGGAGCGGAAAAGTTAGCTGCTAATGGTAGCCACCAGAGTGTATGCAGCTTCCGGTTTTGGTAACGCGTCACTCTCACTCCTTATTTGTTAACGTGTTGGTGTGTATATAACTTTCCCTCGATTCCCTTGGCTCTAGCGGTTATAAAGAGATTTCATTCATCAAAATCGAGCAAGGGGGGCCAGAGATAGGTCAAATCCACCCAAATGACCCCAGAAGTGGGGTTTTTTTGGCTAAATCTCTCTAAAAAGGTCACATTTCACTTGTTTTGCATCAATCTTGATACAGGGTACATATTATATGTTGTACTTTGGATTCCTAAAGCTTTTAGTCTACTAACCCATCATCCAAGGGTAGTTTTCACTATAAGTAAAAAATAATTTTTGGACGGACACTATAATTTACAGTTTTTTACTATGTAAAATCTGAATTTTCTTTAAAATAAAAAACATCTATATTGATTCTGACTTTTCTACATCCAACTCACAGGTTTATCATTACTTTGAGAACAAAGATTATTAATTTAACCCTTTTAGAAGGGAAGATATGGTCATTTGTTCTGGGAATGTCATTTTCGAGCCTGAGACCTGAAAAACAGGCTCAGGGCTTAACAGGTTAAGGAGTCACATTGACACATTAGCCAAGCAGTCTCTTAAACACGAGTAAATAATCAACATTGCACTCAGTAAATCTAAGGCAAATAACAAATATGAAAAATAGAACATCATTAAGGAGTGGCAACACAATTGGGACAAAAGAAACACAAGAAGACACCTATATGCACTGCAGCCAAAAATCAGTCAGGACACTTAAAAGAACCATCAATTTGGATAATGTGTTATCAAGGCTTATATTAGGACATACTAGAGTGAACAAAACATGACATTATTCATAAGAAAAACATCTTTCTGGATGATATGAACACTGCCAGGTTGAGGAATCCGTAGAACATGTAATTCTGCAGTTTGCCAAACACAAATCAAGAAAGAGAAACTTTGAAGACAGAAATCAGGAAGCCTGGAATGGAGCAAACATTACACAACAACATCTCTTATCAACCCCCTTAACAAATATTCATAGATTTGCTGCATTTGTTTGACGTATCTACGTAAACTTCTCTCTGTCTCTCAACCCCTTCAAGTTTCAGCCTAAAATGAGCTCCACCATCATCTACCCAAAAGCTCCTACTGAACCTCCCAAAGTCCGCAGCATCTGCAACTTCCCACCATTGTCCCCTAAGGATGCTCTGGAGGAACGCCTGCTACTAGAATCTGTTGCTTGGCCTGAAACTCCTGCATTGCCATCTCCTCTTTCCCTGGAGCTGACCAGTGATCCAGCTCACAGCTCTTTCACCATTCTCCCAGCGAGAGGAGGAGGACAGTGGCACGTAGGGGATCAGCTGGAAGTTAGCATCAGCATCTCTGACTTCAAGGGACAACCCAAGAAGTCTGGGGGGGACTTTTTATTTGCCCGGCTGCACAACCTAACGCTTGGTGCAGGTGTAGCTGGGAAAGTGGTGGACCATCTCAATGGGAGCTACTCTGCTGTCTTTCCTTTACTCTGGGAAGGAGCAGCTCAGGTTGAGGTGATGCTTAAAACTATCTTTTTCTATGTGATTTTGCTGTAGGCGTGTCATTTGTCTTCCAACTGATTACTCACAAAGCCCCACCCCCTTTTAACTAATGTTGATAAGACTTTTTATTTCAGACAAAAACTCTTGTTTTCTATCCAATCAGGTGACGCTAGTTCATCCCAGTGAAGCTATCACAGTGCTGAACAGGTTGACGAGTGAGGAACCTGACAGGGTATTTTTCATAAGCCTCTTTCGCTCAGGCTCACACTCTGAAACCACCATCTGTAACATCTGCCTGCGTCAAACCAAGCAGCCAATCTGCGACTTCACCGACCCTCGAACCGGCGATCCTTGGTTCTGCTACAAGCCAAAGAACATGAGCTGTGATGCAAGGATCGCCCACAGCACTGTAGGATACAAACAAACGCTCAAGGCCAAGGAGGATGAGCTCTTTCAAGGGTAAGGAAGCAAAGAGACTGGTCATTTGTGTGACTTCTTATAAATACATACATCATGTGTTACCTATTTATCTCCTTGCCTTGAAGTTTCAGAAGTTTGTCAGTACAGGCAGTTTAGATTAAAAGTAGGGGTGTAATGGTTCACAAACATTTCGGTTTGGTACGTACCTCGGTTTTTAGGTCACGGTTCGGTACGTTTTCGGTACAGCAGAAAAAAGGATCACAAAACATAAACAATTTTTTGGGGGTTTTTAATTATTATTAAACTGTGAATAATGTATTCACTCAAATAAATACAAAATATAATAAAATAAACATTAAGGTGCAGCATTTCGATGAACTTAAATCATCTG